CATCGAATGACTGCTCCCGCCTGGGTGAGGCGGGAGGGAGTGTCAGACTCTTACTGACTAAAAACCACCCCGTTCCTTCTCCTGCACGTCGAGCCGGAGCCCCGGTTACCCGTTAGGTTCCCCGCGACTCCGAATCGGCATCGGCCCTATTGAGCCCCATCTGTGGTGGTCTGATGGCTCTTCGAGGCGCGCGCGGAACGCGACGCGCCGTACGCTCGGGTCTGTTTCTGGTCGGACGGGGAGCCACCCATGCTCACCGTCGAAAATTAAATAGATTTCACGCTGTATTTTCGTTTAATATCACATTATAGATGATGCCAAACCAACAAATAATTTAATTATTTTTATTTTAGTTTAACTTTTACTGATACCGTTTTTTAATTCTGTTTCAGCTAATGAAACATGTGCAGGAGAAACATCTAGAGAATCGTAAGTACCAAACTAATCTATATTAATAATTTCGTCAAGGGGTAAGGTAGACTCGATCGAAACATTGCTTGAATAACAAAACATAAAAAAATATCGATTTCGAATCGACAACATATATCCGCAAAATTCGTATTACTGAGATTATTTCGTTTTATTGATTGATTTTAGTGTCACTGACAGACCAACCGCAGTCGCCATCTTGAGTAGACAATGAATAAACGTTCCGTTTCATAGTAACTCTCAAATACGCCTCGTCATAAACACGTTGTCGCGTCAAAAAAGTATAAATTAAATATGAATAATTTAATTTATTTTTATTTTCTAGTATCATAATAAAGACCGATTTTCAATCATCAGTTAATAGGGCCTACCGTATTATTGAATTGCTCAACAGGTGGCGCTGGTGTGAACCACTCATTCTTCATCTCATAGTGAATTGTGTACCTGCTAACTAGTCAAATTCAATACTTTTTTCGAACTGTCAAAAACGACAATTTTCTATGAATTTTGTACGAGATTGTGTATTGTGACGTCACGTTTTTTTAGCGTCAAACAGCATCAGCAGCATCATGGTTTCTTAAAAATTTGCCGATAAAATATATAAAATTAAGTTTGTCATAAAATCAATCAATGAAAGTGTGATTATTTTTTTTTTATTTTATTCTATTTAACAGTCGAAATAGTTTATTCTTGATGAATTAAATTACCCAATTGGCTAGTCTAAAGTCAAAATCAAAATCATTTATTTCAATTAAACCAAGAAAGCACTTTTGAGCGTAAACGATCAATTAAAAAGTGAAGCTACTTGCTCATTCCAAGAGGTAAGTAGATTCCTATGGAGAACAAAGAGCAAGGAAAAAAAACTGGGTTTTTTTAAAAAAAATCTCAGTAGTAGCACGGAGTCCGGAACTATGCCCGGTATATGGCAATAGGCTCACCCCCTATTACGTGGGACTCATAACATAAATAGTGAAAAGTGGGTGTTACATTGTACAGTGGCATTAAGTGCCGTAGATAATATCGAGGGGTAACGGGCTATTTGGTTTAAGCGACATTTTTGCAACTTTACAGGAGAGCCTTTTAAAGTTTGAAATTTCGAAAAAAAATTCATAACAAAAACGCTTCTGCAGATATTTGAACGGGGTAAATTGCATTGAAATTTAAATAAAAATATCTAGTTGCTGATTGCTTGCTTATTCCAAATAAAGCGGACCTTTAATTGCAAAGATAAATGTCGCTTAATACAATCTGCCCTTTTTTAGAGTCAGGAAAAATGATTTAAGTGACTTCATAACTACAATTGGCTACAAGGGAAAAAAATTAAGCGACGATGCACTCTATTTACAGAGTAAGCCAAAAAGTATGAAGTAACGAAACCCAAAATAAATAGAAGCAAGCTATTTATCTCAACTACCAATTTAGACTAAAATGAGTAACAGGCTAATTTACTTATGTGACATATAACATTGAAATTGTATCGTTAAATGTTTATGTTTATTTACATCTAAGACGATTAATGGCTGATAAAACAACCTGGATATATCGAAACAACCGAAAATCTCAGGTGCTTACATCGGATAAATAAACACAACACAATATCAAAGTATTTATTTAGATTAATAATAACAGTCTGCATAGGAACAACGATTATATTATTATTTATTCAGCAAAATCAGATAAATTAATGGGTTATTTACTGAAATTGCCGTTTTGTATGAAAAAATTTAAACGATTTTTTTCATGTATTTTTTATTTGTATTTATCGAAGTAATCACCCATGTAATCAATGCATCGTTGCCAACGCAGTGGCAGTTTATTGGGCATCAATAAACTGCCACAAAATACTTCTTAAACAAATCAGCTGGACGGGTGGCAACAAATTCTTTAAATGCATTTTGTACTGCCTCTCGGGTAATGAATTTTTTTCCCGCGAAGAAGTTATTCAAATTCTGGAAAAGAAGTAGTCTGGTGAGTAGGGTGGATATTGGAGAGCTTCCAACCCCAGTTCTTGTAACTTGGAGACCATCTGTTGTGCAGCTTTAGGTCGCGCGTTGTAATGCAGGAGCAATGGAGATGAGCGATTGACCAGTGCTGGTTGGAGATGTGTCAGCTTCTCCATCATTGTGTTCAGTTCTTCACATTACACATCCGCAGTAATGCTCACTCCGTTTGGTAAGAACCTGTGATGAATCAGACTGGCGCTAGACCATCAGTGACCATCACTTTTCTAGGAGTAAGTTTTCGTTTCGGGTATTGTTTAGGTGCTGAACTAACTACTACTACAACTATGTTGAGCAGTGCAAGGCACTGCTCGATGCATACTTAGCTCTGGCGATCATTGAGTTTGTGGGACACCCACTTGTCAAGTTTTTTTACCTTGCCAATTTGACGTAAATGGACCAATATTGTTTTGATGCTAACGTCGAAAGCTGTTGCTAAATCAGCCGTAGATTGTATGTCATCAGCTTCCACAATAGCCTATTGTCACCAAAGTCTTCGGACGACCGCGAGGTTGATCTTGAAATTAAAGTACTTAGGATTCAATTTCGATGAGCGTTTTACGTAAACACTGGCGGTGAGTGCGCGTCCCGTCTGTCTTCGACGCATTCTGGAGTGACTGAAGCGCCAGCGCACGATAGTCCAGTTGGATGATCACGATTTTTAACACCCGGGCGATGAAATAAATATAGTATCATATGACATGATTGAAATGTACCATATTAAAATTTAGTGATTTAAAGACCGATTCATATTTTTATGAATACTGGCAAAATGTTTCAATATCCATTATTAATGTTATCATCTGTATAAAACGACATGCATTTTAAAAAAAA